ATCTCTAAAATCTAAAAAATACTTCAACACCTCAACAACAAAAAGACAAATAATCCAATTAAAAATGGGCAAAAGATATGAACAGAGATTTCACCAAAGAAGACATTCAGGTGGCTAACAGACACAAGAGAAAATGCTCACTTAATTAGCCATTAGAGAAATGTAGATTAAAACTACAATGAGATACTATCTCACCCCAACAATCCTGGCACTAATCAAAAACAGAAAATGATAAATGTTGGAGAGGTCGTGGGGAGATTTGAACTCTTATGCACTGCTGGTGGGAATGTAAAATGGTACACCCCAAAAAACCAAACCCGTTGCCGTTGAGTTGATTCCGGCTCATAGAGACCCTATAGGACAAAGTAGAACTGCCCCATATGGTTTCCAAGGAGCAGCTGGTGGATTCAAACTGTCGACCCTTTGGTTAGCAGTCGGACAATTTAACCACTGAGCCACCAAGGTTCCAAAATGGTACAACCACTATGGAAAACAATATGGCGCCTTCTTAAAAAGCTAGAAATATGAATACCACACAATCCAGCAATCCCACTCTTCGGAACATATTCTAGAGAAATAAAAGCCACCACACAAATAGACATACGCACGCCCATGTTCAGTGCGGCATTATTCACAAGAGCAAAAAGATGGAAACAGATGAATAATGGATAAACAAAGTATGGTACCTACACACAATGGAGTACTACGCAACGATAAAGAACAATGATGACTCTGCAAAACATCTCACAACATGGATGAAGCTGGAGGGCGTTATCCTGAGTGACATAAGTCAATCACAAAAGGATAAATACTGTAGGAGCCCACTATTATAAAAACTCAAGAAAAGGTTTACACACAGAAAAAAACATTCTTTGATGGTTACGAGGGCGGGGAGGGGACACTACTAACTAGATAGTAGACAAGAGTCAACTTTGGTGAAGGGAAAGACAACACACAACAGAGGGGAAGTCAGCACAACTCGACCAAGGCAAAGTCATAGAAGTTTCCTACACACATCCAAACATCTTAAGGGACCGAGTTGCTGGGGCTGAGAGCTGGGGACCATCGTCTCAGGGGACATCTAGGTAAATTAGCACAATATAGTTCATAAAGAAAATGTCCCACATCCTACTTTGGTGGGTAGCATCTGGGGTCTTAAAAGCTTGTGAACAGCCATTAAGATACATCTATTGGTCCCATTCCGTCTGGAGCAAAGAAGAATGAAGAAAACCAAAGACACAAGGAAAATATTAACCCGAAGGGCTAAAGGACC